TATGGTTTATCTCTACATCAGGCTTCCTCAACCCTGGCCCTCCAGATGTTTTGAGACTGCAATTCCCATCATCCCTGACCACTGGTCCTGCTAGCTAGGGATCATGGGAGTTGTAGGCCAAAAACATCTGGAGGGCCGAGGTTGAGGAAGCCTGCTCTACATGAACTAACTTATTCTTCTCCCGGTGTTGCACATTCCTTCTTTCTATCTCCTCTCCAGTATAACTGAGAGGAGGAGTTCAGAGGATTTTGCTTCTGCTTTTAGTTTACCACAATCTGTTAACTCATCTGCAATGGGTGTTAACTGTGATTAAGGACAGCCCTCTTCATGGATTCTTTATCCAAGTAAACATACAATGGAGGGTTATGGGGATGAGTGTGACAGATGTGCTCCCCTCACCATTCCTGTTGCCCTCCTTGTGTTGAAAGCTGAACTTCTGAAGCAGGGAACCCCTTATACTGATGAATGTTCCCCATGTGTTTTAGACCCCTTAAATGGTCTGAATGGTCTAAATTGTTAAATGGTTAAACCTTAGGGCCTCAACTCCCCCCGGAACTCAGTGGGGAATGACAGGAATATTGCAAGGGGTGGATCTAATCCCTGTGTCAACTCCCTCATATGTCTACTTAAACTCAAGAAAAGAATGCTGAAGAGGGGTATTGTTGTTGTTGTTGTTTAGTCATTTAGTCGTGTCCGACTCTTCGTGACCCCATGGACCAGAGCACGCCAGGCACTTCTGTCTTCCACTGCCTCCTGCAGTTTGGTCAAACTCATGCTGGTAGCTTTGAGAACACTGTCCAACCATCTTGTCCTCTGTCGTCCCCTTCTCCTTGTGCCCTCCATCTTTCCCAACATCAGGGTCTTTTCCAGGGAGTCTTCTCTTCTCATGAGGTGGCCAAATGGATAGGTTTGATCTTCTTGCAGTCCATAGGACTCTCAAGAGTCTCCTCCAGCACCATAATTCAAAAGCATCAATTCTTCGGTGATCAGCCTTCTTTATGGTCCAGCTTTCACTTCCATACATCACTACTGGGAAAACCATAGCTTTAACTATACAGACCTTTGTTGGCAAGATGATGTCTCTACTTTTTAAGATGCTGTCTAGGTTTGTCATTGCTTTTCTTCCAAGAAGTAGGGGTCTTTTAATTTTGTGGCTGCTGTCACCATCTGCAGTGATCATGGAGCCCAAGAAAGTAAAATCTCTCACTGAAGAGGGGTATTAATAATGGCTAATTTAAACAAGCCAACTTCATAAACCACAGTTTGAAGTTGACGTGGTTGAAACTAACCACGGTTAATGTTGACCACAGTTAGAGAGTTTGGAGAAAACACCAAATCTTGGTTGAGCAAAGCAAAAGCTTCCAAATTCCTTCTTCTGGCCATACAGGGAAAGCAGATGGGACAAGGGAGTGCCTGAGTCCAGAAGTAGGCTAGACTTGTTCAAACCATGGTTTGGTGTTATGTACAAACATACCCCAAAGATGATTACATACTACCCAAGCTACCACTGTAGCATAGTCTGTACTAAATAAGCTTAATGGTTTGTTTGCTTTTGGGAGGTGTTTTTAAAAAAATTTGTTCACTGTAGCTTTATCTGTATTCACATATATGAATTGCACAAAAAGGACAGGAAGCGAGAGCTGTTCTCTATTCAGGGTTGCTCCCTCAAGGACAACGTACAAGGTGAACAGCATGGCCAAAGTTTTTAATTGCCTGCATTTTACATGCTCCAGGATTTAATAGGATCTTTAGCTGTCAAAGATGTCAGTTCATTTCTAATAGATTGAACAACAAAATCTGAACCGACAGTTTAATTCTTAACACAAGCTGCTTGAAGCTGAGGAGCAGTGTTACACCCCTACACTTCCTTGTGCCAAACAAAAGAAGAATATGTTGAATATTCTGCTTGGTTTCTTTTTAGTACAATGAAAGCTTGGCTTTACCAAGACAGCTAATGTCTGTCCTGCAAAAAGACTGGGATTTCCAACTGATGCAATGTGGTCCTTTAGAAGCGACAATAAAAATAGTAATTCTGCAATACCTGTACTACATTGTGTGCATTCTGATGGGACAAGACAAACAAAAGCTGGAATAGAAGAACCTTGCTAACACAGATTACTTAATGTGATACTGTAATGGTTATGTCCTTTTGGAAAACTGTTCCACCTAAAATACTGCAGTCAGGTAATTGCAAGAGTCAGGATGCAGGCTCAGAATTCTGAAGAACTGGGATTTACAGAACTGGAATGCTCAATCATGTTATCATATTCAGCTAAACAAATGGAGGAGTAAAAATAGAAGGTGACTCTGTGGGTTTTTTTAAGTCATGCAGGAAATCTGTGCCAGAACCAAGACTAGAATCCAACTTTTTTTTACTCTTAAAACCATCTTAGGAGAATTGTGATTGGTGAAGTCAGTTTTAAGTATGTTGCTTGTACTATATTTGTTATGTAGTTATAAAGCATTTTATGTGAATTGGTTTTAATTATTTGTATTATATATTTTGTTTTGTTATATGTTACTGAGCAAAATACTGGGGGTAAATATATGTGTAATCACCCCTGAAGCTGTGGGATAGAACAGAAGAAACCATTTGTCAAGAAACGCTAGCTTATGACTGAAAGAGGTCTAAATGCCTGTCTTTAGGGCAGAAATATCTTTCTGTCTGGATTATGTGAAAAGCAGAAATGCTGACAAGGCTTTAGTCAAGCTAAGGCAATGCACCAGTGTAGATTTGTTATTCCACACAGCTAGCATAGGAGCAAACTCCAAGGGCCTGAGGTTCCCCCCCCAAAGTATTTGAGGGGGCCCCTACAGTTGATGGGCATTGCCATACAAATGATGTTCGTATGTCGCGTCTTGTGATTGATTTATGCAATGCAGGGCTTACCGTCCACCCCCCCCCCATATTTTAAGTTGGCACCCTTGGCAGCTAGTATCACTTTAACTCCTAAAACAATGGAAGACTGCTTCTGCAGGTGTTTGTCTCGTGACCTGTTAATACTTACCCTATGATTGCTGGGTTGAAGCACAGTATAAAAGGTAAAGGTACCCCTGACAGTTAGGTCCAGTCGTGGCCAACTCTGGGGTTGCGGCGCTCATCTCGCTTTATTGGCCAAGGGAGCCGGCGTACAGATTCCGGGTCATGTGGCCACCATGACTAAGCCGCTTCTGGCGAACCAGAGCAGCACACGGAAACACCGTTTACCTTCCCGTCGGAGTGGTACCTATTTATCTACTTGCACTTTTGATGTGCTTTTGAACTGCTAGGTTGGCAGGAGCAGGGACTGAGCAATGGGAGCTCACCCCGTCGCGGGGATTCGAACCACCGACCTTCTGATCGGCAAGCCCTAGGCTCTGTGGTTTAACCCACAGCGCCACCCGCGTCCCGAAGCACAGTATAAAAATATCCAAATATCTAAATGGTCAAGGCAGGGCAGCTTTCCCTGTCCTTTTCCCTGGCTTTTTAAAAATCAATCACTTTCACCGCTCTCTGCTCTTTTAAAAGTGGCATGCATGCTCCTACTGCAGCTGCCATTTACACCTTCAGTGAAAATGGTATGTTTATTTTTCTAGCCATCAAAAACACCCAGTAGGTATATTGAGCAAACCTTGTGATGTGTATGAAATGTCCTGGTAAAATTCACCCTTCTAAATGACAAAACACCTGATGCTTTGAGACTTTCATATTCATCTGCTAGTTTGCTCCTTCTCTGCCTGGGCCATTTTTTGATCCTTTCATGTATTTATGACAGCTAAACAAGAAGCACAGAAAGCATACAGGAAACGATGGACCCATTTCCCTCACACTGGAAGTTACAAACTGATTCATGCAGCAGACTACACGGCTGATGTTTAGCATCTGATGCCAATACAAATTTGCAATGCGGCCTATTGGAACCAAAGGGAAACCATATAAAAATTACTTTGTGTTTGTGTGTGTATATGATAGGCTTCCAAACTTCATCAGATATACAGGTGAACCCTTTCATCACACTCACACAGCTATCTGCTGCTGTTACTGCCGGTGGTGGTTCACTGGTATCAGCTGTGGAAGCTCAGGCTTAATGACCTGGGTCTGCACTAAGAGACAGCTGGAGTCAGTCAGGGCCTTGCCTTCCCAGACCAGGTGGGAAAGGCCTGCAAAGCAGGGAGTAGGACTCACAGCTGATTCCTTCTTAGTAATTTATGCCTCTTCCTATAATCCTCTTCTAGTTCTAGGAGCTCCAGAAACTACTCTTTTGGTGGATTTGGCCCTGTTAATTTCTGTCAGGAAATGATGAGATGGCAAAAGGGCATGCCTGCAGTATTGTGACCGGTCTCACCAGGTATGAATTATAATAATTGCTTTTAGAAAATTTTCCTTAAGATGGGCTAAGAAAATTTCAGGATTGTCTTTTAACTGTGTTGAGAATTACAAACAAAAAAAATAGATTATTGCAATGATTCCAAAGTTCATGATTGCTGGGAGAGAATGGAGTTACACCATAGCTTTCCCATCTTTTGAAGAACACAACTAAGACATAAGGTAGCCACCCTATCCTCCTGTATCTCTCCTCAAGATTCAAGTGTTAGCATTGTGCATCTGGTAAAATGCCGAATGGTAACACAAGGCAGATGGTCACTGGAGACTTGTGATATTTCTCTAATTTATTCATTTATTTATATCCTGGGATTTATTTAAAAATTGACTCACCAAAGCTGTGTAGTGAGAGCTTGCCCTATTTAAGTACATATTCTTTCTGACAATTCCTCTCACGCTCATCCCCCAGTTTCTACCGTTGCTCATGTTAATGTTTTTCTAAGATGAAAAGCTTTTCAGGGTATGGATTTTCTTATTCAGCCCAAACCTAGTATTTGCAATGCCTCCATTCTGAAAGAAATTCCCCACTGTTTAAAGGAACAAAATCTGCTTTATTATGTACAGTAGACCTTGCCATGCTTGGCTTTGTTTAATGTGATGACTGTAATAAACAGCATGGTGAGATCCAAAAGTTCCCCCTAAAATACAGCATTCTTTTGGCATTTGTTCCACACAAGTGAATAAAGAAACCCACAGCGACAGTTCTTCAGAGTAAACCTCTTGTATTCATGAGAAGCAGCTGTGCTCCTGGCTGGGGAGAAATCGATTGCCATGAAGCCAAGGTATTTGCATATGAACTGAAAAGGTGGATTCTATTGATGAAAACCAGGCCAATGAAACATCCTTTTATTAAACCCCCCCCCCTCATTTCTGCAAACACTACCAAGGGGAAGGTAGTTGAGGCGGGAACCGCCTCAAATATATTATCTCCTGAGTCTCCCGTTTGAAAGGAGTACAAGTAGGCTTTTGAACTACCGGTCGTTCTACATTTCTTATCTTTATAGAACCAACACAGCTACTAAATCTCTGACTGAAACCATCATTCTAATGAAATGAAACACAATTTTACGCAGCACAGCAGGTTTTCCACTGAGACACATTTACAAACTCTCTATAAAGCTTCCTCATTTTAAATATACCAAATCACAAAAACGCAAATGGAAAGTGAAAAGAGTGGGAAAGAAAGGGGAAAGGGCGGCTACACAATTGGTGTTATCCCCCTTAAATCATACTCAAGAGTAAACCCCTGAAAATAATTTGATTTACTCTGAATATGACTAATATTGGTCAATCCAAGAATAGTCCCCTCCCCTTAAAATTGTGATTTGAGGAATCATAGAAGGGGTGGAGTGTGTGGAGACTGTAGGTAATTCAGTTTATCTACAAGATAGAGCTGGAGTAATAACATTTAATCTGCCAAATGATGACGTCTCCCAACAGATTTTTATCAAATGATGAGATTTAACAAGTTGTCTATGTCCTTGATTCTAGCGTTTGGCTTTTCTTACAAAAAGGCCATCTTTGTCGGTTTGTAACATTCCACAGCACACTAATTCATTTAATTCAAAGAAATGCTACTGGTTTTGATGGTATCACTCATCAGTCAATGGGTGTGGGCTGCGTATTAACTAGGAAATCGAGATCTGGTGTAGTATAGTTGTTTTCTAATTTTGCCTCTGTCATGAATTTGTGCAATGTAAGGGCACCTTTTTTTTTTTTTTTTTTGGCCCAGGTACAGTCATACCTCATGTTACGTTTGCTTCATGATACGTTTTTTCAGGTTGCATCCCGTGGTGACCCGGAAGGGTTACTTCCAGGTTTTGCTGCTTGCGTATACGCAGACACGCAAAATGACGTCACGTGCATGCGCAGAAGTGGCGAATCGCATCCTGCAAGTGCGCAGATGCGCCGAGAAGCAGGTTGCATTCTATTCATGTTGTGAACGGGCCTCCGGAACGGATCCTGTTCGCAACCAGAGGTACCACTGTACATTCTTTCTTGATTGGGCGCTCTGCCCTGCTCACAAAAGAGGGCACAGATTTGCATACATGCTGTGCCATAGGTAAATTTTCATTTACCTATGGCATAGCATGTATTCATTTGCAAAGCATGTACTCTTAAGCTACAGCCCCTCCCACTAAAAATTATACAATATAGTTGGGAAATATTGCAATAATAATTTATAACAATATTATAACATTCATATAAACATGTTAGAATCAAGCAAAAATAAACGAAAACTTACACAGGAACAAAAATTAACATTGTGCAACTGCCTACAAATACTATGACGTTAGGTATGCTCCCCACTCTGTCTCAATTCTTCATAAGTAAAATGGGTCTGCCTTTAAGAAGGGGTGGGGGTGGGAATAAGGATAGGGGAGATCAGGAGTACAAAGTGCTTCAAACACCCATAGAATTATAGAGTTGGAAGAGACCACAAGGGCCATCGAGTCCAACCCCCTGCCAAGCAGGAAACACCATCAGAGCACTCTGCTGTGGATGTTACCCCTGAAGCTGGTTTGGAAGCAGCAGCAGAATTCTATAGCCAATTCCAAGCATTGGCTACTAATATAACAACTGTGTTGAAGAAACTGCACTGGTTGCCAGTATGCTACCAAGCCATCTTCAAGGTATTACAATTAGTATATAATAAAGCCTTAAAGAACCTGAAGCCACTGTACTTAAAAGACCACCTTAGTCCTATACCTTGCAATGAGCTCACTTGCCATGGGTTAGTACAATTGATCTTCGACTGGCAACAACACAGATTCAAACCAGGCATGGTATTTCAGAAGACAGGGATGGTCATAAGATTTGCAGCAGCCAAGTATCAGGTGCCCATGCTTGGGTAAATTCAAGATTAAATTGTTAAAAATGAAGCAGTGTATTCTAAGAGCACTTGTGGTGGCTATTTATTATTTATACCTCCTAATAACTGCAGCAATGTTATCAGCAAAGGTCAAAAAATTGCATCTCTCTCTGTTCCTTTTCTGAGCAAAAAGGATTCGAGCCTTTGACATTAGCATACCCGTTTTAGTGTTTATAGCAGCAACAGCAATACAAATGGTCTGAAAATATCTAGAATTTTGCAGTTTAAATGTACAGCCCACCTAGGTTTGATGGGGCTCTCTTTTATGACTGTGTGGAATGGTTAGCGCAGGATGTGAATAAATGTAGGAACTACAGGGGTGTCATAATAGGAAGAAAGATGTATTTGATAGTTCTAACAGATAATGCCAAAGGGAGGCAACAAAAGAAAGAGGCTGGGAGATTGTAGCGCATAAAGGGAACAATGCCAAACCTTTATCAAAGTAAGGCCTAACTAGTTAAGTACCATGATTTAGCAGAAGCAAAGAGGTTTCTCTGTGTCATAGAATAAATGGGTGGGCCTTTTCCCACACTTCCCTCACCTAGCTGCAGTTTGGGAAAACAGTAGCCAGAGTTGTATGAGTGAGCTGAAAGAGCAGACTGGAAGCTGAAGAAACAGAGACATGTTTGCTTTATGCTGGACTTTGGGTCTCTCCTAGAAACCTAAAGGGGAAGCAAAATCTTTGGGGATGTTAATGCTGTGAGCCTCTCCAGCCTATGTTCTTGTTGTATATACAGTGGTACCTCTGGTTACGTACTTAATTGGTTCCGGAGGTCCGTACTTAACCTGAAATTGTTCTTAACCTGAAGCACCACTTTAGCTAATGGGGCCTCCCGCTGCCTCTGTGCCGCCGGAGCATGATTTCTGTTCTGCTTCATCCTGAAGCAAAGTTCTTAACCTGAGGTAATATTTCTGGGCTAGTGGAGTCTATAACCTGAAGCGTATGTAACCTGAAGCGTATGTAACCCGAGGTACCACTGCATGTGCAAATGAAACCATATGTCCTAAAGACACCACAGTCCCTCTTGACCTTCATTCTAAGGAAGCTGAACTCTGGGTAATCACTAGAGCCCCTGGAGTCTCTCATCTCTCAGAGATTGGGTTGACGTGTTAACAATACATTTGAGTTTTGCACTTTGTCTGTGACAAGGTGTTTGGCAAATCTTTCCTGGTATCTTACATATGTTTGCACCTCAAGTAATGTGTGCCCTTCTTTCTCTTTGGCTGCTTTACCTTTCAGTAGTGTTCTGTGTTTTTCGGTCCCAGTGGGACACCAAGTGGGCACACAGAGAACTGCAGGAAAATAAATTAACAACCCAAAATTATTTCTTTAGATGCAAGGAACACATTTTGGAAAACCCTGTTGGGTTTTTCCAGCGTTATGATTAAATATTTTGAAGCAGTTGCACAATGAACAATTAGCTCTTATATATGTGAGTGTGGGTATATATAGAGAGCTATACGTATATGTTCATTTTCTTTCCAGGACGGGGACTGGGTTAGTAGTGTTGCAAAGTAGCTAGTATTTAAAAGTTACCTTGCCATTGGAGACGATGCAGCCATCCATGGCTTCTCTTGCCCTGCTCCTCATTGTTCCATTCACCCTCCCTGCTTGCAGGCTAGGAGGAGTTATGCAACCTAGCAAACACAGTGCTTTGGGAAGAGAATTGGCTCATGTTTAGCAGCTTGGGGCCACTTTACTTGCAGAATTTCCTTACCTCCAGTGGCGTAGCGTGGGGGGTGCAGGGGGGGCCAGCCGCACCGGGCGCAACATCCGGGGGTTAGGGTTAGGGGGCGCAAATCCACGGGTTAGGGGGCGCAAATTACTTGCCTTGCCCCGGGTGCTGACAGCCCACGCTACGCCACTGCTTACCTCATATGTGCCCACTCAGTGACTTCAATCTGGCAAACTGGTATCAGGGCTGGAGCAGCCATTAGGGATGAAGGCACTGTCTCAGGTTGCAGAAGCTCCTGAGGTGGGACCTCCAGTGGAGAAGCAGCTCCGGAAATCAGCACTGATGCTGGTGGTGCTTCTTTGGCAATGGCAACAGCTGTGCAGGCAGTGGCAGCAGGGCAGCACTTTCCATTTCTCCTCAAGCCACCACTGCCTGGCATTGTTACAGGTGGCACATACTTGTTTCACATCGATAAGAAATCAGTATTTTAGTGCGGCAGCACCTACAATTTGGAACTCCGTGCCTATGCACATCATTGAAGGGTGTCGGCACATACCTTTGAATAATGACTGGTGGCGAGGTTTTATTTACACATATATCCAGGCTGAACATTCCAACAGTTGTTTCTCCCTGATTAGGTTTCTGGATCGTCTTACCTAAAGTCATAGCTTTGTTTTCAGTAGTCATTTCTTTGTTTTCAAAGCAAGCATCTGTGTATTCCCAATTTTAGGTGAGATTAGACAAGGCTGGCCCCTTGCCTGTTGTTTTTCCCTTAGGACAGTGTTTCTGGGCAGGTGCACCAGACTCTGAGCTTTTAAAAAAGTAAGTCTCTAGCCCTCCTAGAAAGTAAGTTGTGGGCCAAAATGTGCAGATACATTTGTGTGAAATTAGTGTGATTGTGGTGTGACCATCTTGTGTATTTTCCCTGGTACTGAGGAATGCTTCTTGTTGCTATTAGACAGCAACAGGATCAGTGTTTGTGTGTATGTGTAAAATCTATACTAATTGATCTCCACAGTCAGGATCTGCAGGATATAGCTGACTTCCCATGGTAAGTGTAAGGTTGCCAGGGCTGACTGTCTCTCTAATTTTGTGTTATTACACTCCCCATGGCAGCCATTTTGTGTTGTGCCCCTCCTCTCCTAACCTATTTTGTGACTGGCATCCACAGCTTTCTCTCAAAATTGAAAATGTGTCCGCTGGTTGAAAAAGATTGGTGGTTCCTGCCCTAAGATGACTGGGCAATTGTCCTTCTAACCCTAGGATGGTGTGGCCTCCAGCCTGGTGATTGGGGAGGGAGGGGAGGGCCTCCAAAATCTTTCTCCAAAATGATATCTCATTAAAACATGATAAAATAATTTTAGTATGATTATATTTAGTATTATTGGCCAGTTAAGTTTATAGTGCTCATGTAATTCTGTTGGAAAACATAGAACTAGTTGTGGTAAATCAATTAGGTAAAGGGATCCCTGACCATTAGGTCCAGTCGTGGCCGACTCTGGGGTTGTAGCTAGCGCTCATCTCGCTTTATTGGCCGAGGGAGCCGGCGTACAGCTTCTGGGTCATGTGGCCAGCATGACTAAGCCGCTTCTGGCGAACCAGAGCAGTGCACGGAAACGCCGTTTACCTTCCCGCCGGAGCGGTACCTATTTATCTACTTGCACTTTGACATGCTTTTGAACTGCTAGGTTGACAGGAGCTGGGACCGAGCAACGGGTGCTCACCCCGTCGTGGGGATTCGAACCGCCGACCTTCTGATCGGCAAGCCCTAGGCTCTGTGGTTTAACCCACAGCGCCACCCGCGTCCCTGGTAAATCAATTAAGTGTTAATATTTACAGAAGCATAACTTGGGGTGAGAGAAAGGAGCAGCAAGTCAACATCCTGCCCCACTCTGAGGCGGGACACATTTGGCTTGAGGAACTGTGTTGCTGCTCTTTGTGTCAAGATTAAAAAGAATCAAGCAATTGTTTTAAAAATAGAGACCTGAACTTTATATGTTTGTTGAATTAGAGCGTTAATAATAGATAGCACTTACATTCTGCTGTGGTATGCTGTTTACATTGGCTGCTGAAAAATTCTACTGTAGTAGAAACTGCATAGATGGATGGTATTTTACTCTGAAATGATTCCTGGTTGCTCCTTCCTTTTCGTAGTGTCACTAGGTTTATGAAATGACTTTACAATGTCAACAAGAAGGCTAGCAAGTATGTACAGGGTGAGTCTTTTAAAAGAGGCTCCGTGGAACATGTGTACTCTGTATCCACGGGGCCTCTTTTAAAGGACTCACCCTGTATATGCATGTTGACCTTTTGCAGCCGTGCACTGGATGCTATTTTTCAAGATATCCCTTATATAGTGAGATTGGAGGGGTGTAGGCTGTATACTGGAGTTCCTTCTAATTCATGGATCCAGCAAGGATTCAATTGCTGGAATAGCCCTGAAAATTTATTGGCAATAGCTTAAGCATGTTTTGTTCAGGTAAAAAGGGTTGTTGCGTTGCTCTGTGCCAGAGGCAAATGGGTGAGCCTCTCTTCCCTCAAATGTCTGTTAGTTAGAAAGAAAGACAAAAGCCAGACTTGAGGTTTGTATGAGGTAGAAACGAGAAGCAGGCTAGCCAGCCGAGAGATTGAGACATGCCTGATTTCTGCTGGAATCCAAGGCTGAGGCCATGGGAGAAACAATACTTTCTTGGGGTGTTAATACCATAGCTGTCAACTTTCAGATTTGAAAATAAGGGATCAGCAGCCTCACCTGTCCTGGGGATAGTCTATGGGATATCTAACAATCTGGGATAGCAGCGGGAAGCAGCAGGAAACAGCGCTGGAATAAGGGAATTTCCCGCAAAAAAAAAGGGAAGGTTGACAGCTATGGTTAATGCTATGAGCCCCTCATAGAATTATGGAATTGTAGAGTTGGGACTTTATTATTATGATAAATAAATCATATATTATAAAGACACCACAGCAGGGGTGCCGGGTATAGGGACTGCAAGGGACTTCTGCCACCTTAATATTTTGAGGCAGGGGGCTGTGCCCTCCAATACTGAGGGGGGCAGTCATCCCCCGCCACCCCTGGGTGAGTGTTGGTTTGCAGGGCGTGGGGTAGGAGGCTTGGAGGGCGATTTTCACCCTCTGCACACACACACCTGCGATAACTAGTGCATCCCAGCAGGCATGGCTCAACATTAGGCATGCATGACCGCCCCCCCACCAACGTTGGGCCTAACTCAGTGCACCTGCACCAAAGTTTCTGCTGTTCCTCATTCCAAGGAAACTGAGCCTTGGGTAAGCGCCTGGAACCCCTGGAATCTCACACGGCTTGGAGATTGGGGTGGCATGCAACAATAGGCATGTGCGTGTGCCAGAACAAAATCCAGCAAAACTCCTGTGCTGAGTGCATATTCCTTAAAAGTATGCCTGTGTATGTGTAATATATTTAGATACATGTGCTTATACACACACACACATAGAGCGAGGATGGAAATGCTGCAACACTTAAATAAATCCATGCTTCCATTAAATCCATTAAATTAAGCCATGGTACCACAGCACTAATATCGGACATAAGCATTTGCACAGCTCTTAAAAGGCACCAGGCAGAGGTTTATTTCTGATCTTAGCATTGTGGGATAAGCCTCTGCTGCAGCCTTTTACTATGAAAGAGCAAGCAGAGACTGATCTCTGATGTTAGTGTTGTAGTTCCCAGCACAATGCCAGAGATAAGCCTCTGCTGGCTTGATAAAAAGAAAAGGCAGGATATATATATGTATATATATATTATACACACATACAATCTTAGCACTGTGAGACTACTGTACTGATAGCAGAGATAAACCTCTGCTTGCTCCTGTGGCTTTAACTTTGAATCTCTTGGTATCATATGACATCACTTGAATGACATGTGTAGCTCCACCTACTTGTCAAAATAGTCCATGGATTTCTGGATTCTCCCTTCAGTTAGGGCCTTTTATTTCCAAAGAATAGCCATTTATTTCAATTGTTATTGAACCACACTACATATTGGCTTACTGGTAGCAGAGTTATGTAGCTTTTATACATCTGAGTGTTTCTTAGAGCTGATCACATTTTTATGTGATAAGCTTTCCCATTAAGATGATGCCTATTTGAAAATTAAAATTGATTAGAAACAATTCTTTTCTGTATATTCATTTTCTTATGAGAAATTTCTAGTGAATTCATTAGATGTAAGTCTTGCCAAAGAGAAATGGTTTGGATTATGTGCACTTTGAGAAGAATCAGCGAAGAAAAGAAATAACCAAGTATTTGGCATAATGGTGCAGTTTATGTTAAGCCGTTATCAATGTGTGATGGAATACTTTACCGTTAGTTCTTCCTTCCACACAGCTGACTTTATAGTCTCCCCTTTTCAGAAGCAAATTAGCATCAGCATCAATAGTGAACTTTGTGGTCTTGTGCCTATAGCAAGGTATTGAAATAAGGCCAGCCATAGATGCCAATCCCGTCTTTCCAGTTCTCCTAGCTTAAAGAGTATTTTTCTTTGTTGTTCTTTTCCATTTCAACTTTTAATTTGGATTTCTGAGTGACTGTAGGAAGAAGTCTATAATTCATATATTTTTAGTTAGTTGGCTGAGAGAGGCTTTGCTGAGTGATGAACTCCAAAGCCAACACTCCAAAACCATCCAAGTAACATGTTCTGTGTCAGCAGAAGGATTTCTGCTTGCGCAATGGAATTCTCTGCCCTGAATCTGTTGTAGGGAGGGTTGGGTGTGGAGTGCGCAAAGGAAGAGTTAGTGGGAAGAACTGTTGTGCAAGAGGAAATCCTTGCACTGATAGAACATGTGAAGTGGATACCTCCCCTTGTTTCTTTACCTCCATGGAATTAATAGAACTTTCCCCTTGCTTGCTTTATTACCCTCAAGTATGCTGGCCACTGCAGCCTTGGTCTGCTTCCTCTGCTAAGGTGAAAAAGGTGCCAAGAGAAGGTCACACCATAGAAAGTGGAGTTTAGAAGTCTCAGGGGGTGATAGAGTGGAGTTTTGCCTCCAAGGCTGTCCTGAAGCAGCAGCACTTACAGCAACACATCCAGAGAGGTGCCTGTCACCATGACTCATAACTGGAACTGGAGACACTGTTATTAACAGCCAGCATTGGCAAACATCCAGAGGGCACCGTGTTAGCTACCCCTGCTGCTATATCAGGTTCACTTTTGCATTGGAGTTTGTCAGTTTCTTATGCTGCTCTCCCCACCCTTCTATATACAGAGTCATACCACCCACCAAAAGGCTTCATAGTAATGTGTCCTAATGTGCTCAGGTGGTATGAAACTATCAGTTTAGAAGGCCAGGCTGAAAAACCAATTAGCTTCTCATGAGATCTCCCTTAAGCAGTAGTCCTGAAGGAGATAGCAATACAGTACAGGCTTTAGCTTATGCTGGGGTTACATTCTGGGGATAGCACTTAAAGCCAAAACCATGTATCGTAAAAAAAGTCTATTTTCTTGGACGCCAGACCCCTTTCTATTTATTTATTTTTTAATTCCCAAGCGAATAAAGCTGAATACGTTCAAGTTAAATCCACATAAATTGTGAGTTACAACAAAATGTATGTGAAAATGCACTGTGTCCAGGGCTGGATTTAGGTTTGATGCGGCCCTAAGCTACTGAAGGTAATGGGGCCCTTTATATGTCCAGATGTCCTTTGTCAACAACAAATTGTCATATATTGAATATATGCTATATGGTAATTTATATGGTAATTTATGAACCTAATAGGTATCTAAAGCCATTTGCACATAACAAAATATGTATTTTATCAAAGTAATTGTTGAACTGAAATACAATTAAGATTAAGGTTTGTTTTTTATCTTATATTTTGGAAATGAACATCCAGGTTTTTTTCCTTTAATTTTTTGGGGCCCCTCCAAGAGAGTGAGGCCCTAAGCTATAGCTTGTTTAGCTTATATGCAAATCTGGCACTGACTGTGTCTTGTTGCTTCTCCAAGTAGTTCTCAGCTAGGGTACAGTATTCTAAATACTGGGGTATGAATTGGGGCTTCTAGGTCCAATATCAAAGACCAGAAGTGGCTCCAAACTCTGTCCTCTGATGTAAGGGAAGGCTGAGATCATACTGAAGGTTGTGGTCTTCTACAGTGTTCCATACATAATATATCCACAGGAAAGTTTTCATGTGAGCCAGTACAAAAGTAAAAGAACAGAGACAGCAATTTCTTTCTTTCTTTTTAATTATTCCTTCATATTCAAACTTCACAAACAGTGTGAACTTGTACAATACCTCAGAAAGTGAAACTTACAAAAAAAGTGCTGGTAACATTAAAAAAAAGAAAAAAGAAAAACCCAAAATAACAAACATCATTCTTAGCAACATCGATTACTCTTCCACACAAAACAGAAACCTTGTAAAATTTATTTCCGTATCTTTAAGGCGTAATACTTCCGTATAAAGTATATGCAAGAGATAAAACTTCACAGTATTCCAAAATGTCACAATAATAATAATATAGTATAATGAAGCGCTACAGTTAATTTTATTTTTTTCCTTTTTTCTGTTTTAAATAACAAATACAAGTCACAGGTAAATATACGTGAGAAAAATACGAGGCTAATATTAAATGGCAGGTAAGGATACTCTCACTGTAAGAAAAAACTGGCAGGATGTGTGTAGTTATTCTATATTTTAAAGCACTTGATAGAAAAGGCGTATGCAAGGTTTTTAAAAACAATTCTCAGTTTACTTGCTTTATAACTGACATACCATTTACAGAGTAAAATGAGAGAAAAAAAAGGAACTCAGTATTCCCTCAAAACTTTTGACCTGCTCGTCTCATTTTCTTAAACCATGTTGCACTGTATAAAGGTGTGTTTTTGTGTTTATGTATAAGTACACTTACAGCCACTACAACACACTTTGGATTAGGCAGAAACTAGTATCTCCAGGAGAAGTATCTTTGCTCAAAAGGGATCTTGTTTTGAAGCCTTTACATTTGGAAATCATTGTTTTAATTTATGTAAAGACTGCAGGATTAGTCTTCAACGTAGTTTTTCCCATTCACTCAGTTACTAATGATTTTGGGGACATTTCTTTGCCCAATGTATGAAATTATCCAGTCCTCAAACATAGAGAAATTCTAATGCTTTAAAAAAGCATACTAAAAAAGCAGAAAGATAGGGCAAGTTTTGAAATCAGCACTGGAATCATACATTATATAGTCAACCCTTCAAAATGCTGGACCAAGGAATGGGAAAACATGGGTAGAAGTTCACTTAATAGAAATATCACTGTTGTGTGTTTGCATGTGTGCAAGTGTATTGTCTTGTATGATGGCTTGTATGTGTGGAATGCTGTGGACACACGCAAGTCATACCTTGCTCCTGCACACATTTGTATATGTTAACAGCCAGCCATTCAGCTAACAGGTAACAGAAAGACAGCAGATAGCATAACACATCAATAAGGTGCTCAAAGGAAAAAGGGTGGCTACCACTCTTGGAATGGGAAGCCACATTAAGGTGCTTCAAAAAGGTTTTTTTTAAAAAAAACAAACAACTACATTTAGTTCAGAAATGTACAGATTTTTGCACATAGTGATTGAGAGCAAGGCCAAAAGTTAAGAGATTTCTGACATCTTCCATAAACAGGGGCTTTTTTGTTACAGGTTTTGTTACTTTTTTGTTGGGTGGGTCAGTGAACAAAAAAACTAATCAAAAAGTGCAGAACCCGAACTGTGTCGTTTAGATTGTAATAGTTTTTGCCCAATCATTCAGTTGCTTTCATTTAGCACCGTTCCTTTTTCTTCCGGTTACAATCCGTTCCTACTGTAGTTATTGTACATACAGAAAGGACCAAGTTACTTGCAAGTAGCTGTTTGTATTTGTGATCTGTTTCAAGAGTCCAACTATTATTCATCTGCTGCTTCTGTGTTTGTGAAAAATCTGGTTTTGTAGCTGTGAAAAGGGAGGCTAATCTCCTCTCACACTTCCAGCTTTGTGTGTATGTGTGAATACATATCTGTAACCCCATCACACATGAGAGTATATTATAACTGGAGATAAAGTGAACTGGGTTCAGACATTAGTGCACTATCTTTCCCCTGTGCATTTGAAACAGTCTCCAACTTTTTTTTTTTTTTAAAGTGCATTTAACATGAAATAAATTGGGCATTTATGTGCCCTTTGGAAAACACTTCAGAAGCGAAAAATGTCTGACTTGTGTAGATTTAGAAACGCCAATAGTGAATGGGTAATAGTAAGATCAAATAGGCAGATGTTCTCAGACAATTAATGTCTTTTCCAATATAGCAACACCATGAGTGACACAAAAAGGTGGAAGGGATTTGTTTTGAATTTTGGCATTTTGACTTTTTTGATAGAATGAATTTGGACTAACAACAACAGCAACAACAACAACCTGCCCATCCGGCTAGAATAGTTTGTTCAGAGCTTCAGTCACTTCTCCCCTTTCATCTGTGCCGATGTGACAACTTGGAATCTGACTTAGTTAGATTTAAAAGAGGACCTGGGTGCTTATGTGCCAACATCTATTAGGAATAAGGCACTGTAGAAATCTCAGCATCCTCTTTTTCTCAACGCTGAGATATTGCATGTTATATAGTTAATTCTTCTATTTCGCATGTGTCAAAAACAGGTTCTGGAAAAGGAATTTAATCTTTTGTCTTATCAGCACCAAAGAGCTCTAGATCAGCACCCTTTGTCTCTACACACATGCACCCATACAGTCAAACAAGGAATACAGGGATACTTTTAATTATTAAAATAATATGGGTTTAAAGTAACTTTTCTTACTACTGGAACTCCTTGTGAGTTTCTGAGTTATTGCATAGGAGAAGCTGTGTGATATCAGATTGTCCATTAAGCCACAATTAAATTATCACCACCCCCATTTCTGATATGGGGATCATATGTTGAATTTGCAGCATTCAGCTCTTAATTACTTAGGCAGCTAATAAACCCTTCCACCTCTAAGGTCCATAGTGATATGAGATCTTAATTGTCTTCTCTCAGACCCTGATCACCAGGGTCTTCCTTTGGCTTTCCTTACCCATTCACAAACACATGAGATGACCAGGAAAGCATAGAGTGCAGCAGAAGAGTATGTGAGGAAAGCAAAGAGGCAGCAAGGCTCTGGACTGAACTGGATTGGATTATAATACGGGAAGCACAAAATTATAAAGTCTAAATATAATTGATCTCTAGGCTAAACCCCAGAATAAGTTGTGGGTAAAAAATATTTTAATGAAAACACCACAAAATATGGGCAACAGCAGAACTGCCACTTTTAGTCTTACAAGTCTTAATAAGGCCACAATCTGGGCAAAAAGTGTGAACTCATAGTAGGAATTTTCACTGGGCTACAGTGGAAATGGGGGCAAAAATGCCTCAAGCCCTTTAGTGTTAGTTTTGGATAAGTTGTGTGCACAGGGATTACGGGAAATGTTTCTCTGGGAAGACCTAGACATGGATACAAACAGGGAGTTAATTGCCACAGATTCCATAAATCATTTTACTGGACACTTTTTTTTTGACAGCCTCCTATGTCTTTTTTTTTTTTTTTTACGTGTAACTTAAAAGACGGTCAGGAGGCTAGTTCTATTATAAAGCAGGAAAAGAAGGCACATGATTTACTCAGTCTTGGCTGAACTCAGGTTTGGAAAACAAGGAATGCTTTGCTGGAAGGTGGGAAAGTGCTCATTGGAGCAAGATGCTCACAGAAGAGTTCTGGAGCGAGTGGAACAATGGCAGGAGACTGAAAGAGTCAAAGAGGGGAGAAGAAAGGGAAGTGAAGGCGAAAATGAAGACCACTCTTTAGCTTTCTATTTGCTTGACATGCTCAGGATTTGGCAGTGTTCTATGTCAAGAATGGAAAAGATGTTGCTTGGCCTTGAACATAGCCCAGTTACATATCTCCAGTTTATGGTGTTTATGGTGTTGTGACTGTTGGCATCTCCCTGTTCCCTTCCTTCCTACCCAAAAAGCATTTCGATCACAGCTTTAGTCTTCCTAGTTTAAGCATTCTCGCTTCTTTCTTCAGCAATTGACAATGCATGTAGAAATTATTGACCACCCTTGGGTTTAGCATCTATACTTTTCTGTAATCAGAAAATAAGCATTTCAAAGCAGTCATTGCTACTGCTCCCATCAGTCACAGATTGCCAATGAAAATCTGCATGGTGCCTCCTTTTATTATGTTGTTGGACAACATAATGCCTGGGAATTTGGATGGCATGTCTGGCAATAATGTCTTAGTGGACTTTACCAGAAATCATGGCCCTCCTGAGAGGAGCTTTGGACATGCAGTGGTGTGAATCCGTCATGGAAAGCACCTTCTCATTTCAAACTTTAAACTAGGAAGGAGATGAAAGACATCTGGGGTGATTATGTACAGCAGATGTAGGAAACTCTTTTGACCTTTGGTTTTCTCCCCTCAGACTTTGAATTGAAGGTTCCTTTGTTTCCCTTACATCTGTTGTTACGTTCACCTTAGTCTGCCTTAAGGTGGAAGGAGGGGAAATGAGATTGCCAACAGCTCGATGAGAACACAGGGGTAGTACACAAAGTCACAGTCCAGTGTTTTAGACATTTCATAAATAACCTTAAAAAAAATAAAACAAGAACAATCCCTTTACTTACTCATCTGAAACAAAATAAACAGCAGTGGATACAAACTTCTTGTAACAATTACAAAAGAAAACAACAATACAACCCCCCAACTTTAACACATTTGTTTTAAACTCAAGACTGCAGCATATCCTTAAGGGCAAACTTTTCAATTATTTTTTCTTTTCTTTTTTTAAATAATGTTTTCACCAAAAAAATCCACAAAACAGTCTTGTACCAAGAAAATGCGTTCAAAAATAGAAAATATTACACAACAAAAATATGTACCCTTCCTTTCCAAAAAGAGTCTTCACAAAAATGTAGAAAAAATTCCAACCATTTTGGTGCTTTCCTAAACATGTAACCTTCAACCTAGGGCACAAATATTTATTGATTTAATTTTTGCATAAAACATGGAAGATATAAACCAACTATTAAGATTGTGAAGTTAAAGAACAGCCAATGTCCCCATTCTGTTCCACATATTCTTACAAGAACAAATAAAAATTAATAAATCTGATGATTAAACAAAAGATATTTGTGAGCCAATGGGCTGTGAAACCATTAATAGGACCCAGATACAGTGACATGAGTGGAAAACTGTCTTGTCTTTCAAAATAGGTATTTATATATTATTTCAACAAGTCTTAACAACTCCACTGTACTTGACTGAGAGAGAAAGCAAGAAAAAGGATATTCAGGGTTAATAGTATACAGGGAAAACAGGCTGATTTTAAATATTTCACTTACTAAAAACTTTGTAGCCATATTTTAAACAATGGCGAGGGTGTTTCCATATACCCTCAAAGTGCAAGAAGCAAGGGATCTTTTCTGGATCACAGTAGTCAAATATGAGGAAGTCCATTTTCCATTAAGGACAGAATCTCAAATTAAAGTCAACTAATACCAGTTGGTAGTGGGACAATTGGTATTTGATTTTTAGAAAACAAAATCTATGGAATTTGTTTGTTCAACAGGTTTTACCTGGACCAAGAAACATTTTGTGGATATTATTGTAATACTGCACTGTATCCTACTGTTATTACAATGGCTGCAGTAAAACTGATAATATTAAAAAGTGTGACTGCAAAGACATATAATCTGTTTTGTACCAGCTCATGTAACTCATCATTTTTTAATGCTGTTTCTGATGCTGTTTAGTTTTATTTAAAAAAAACACCCTTTCTGGTTCTTATTGGAGCACATGCTGGGACTGACACTGCAAACCTCCGGGAACAAGTGCACCAAGTAGATTGGACAAACAAGGACAACAAACATGTCCAAACTGTGGGTTTCTATTTCTAGCTGTAGTGCTTTAGATGCTTGTGAGTGAATAAAGGGAGGTGGTTTAGCCTCTTCCTTGCGAAACTGTGCATTTTCCTCTCTAAAATTAAATATTTTCCAGTGCATCTTCCCCCCGCCTCCAAAGACCTTGTCACTCATCCTTCAAAAAGAAAACCCCAGATTTATAAAGATACAATGCTATAAAATCAGGTATTTTAAACAATACAATGTGCAAATGCCAAGCCAAAAAACAAAAACCATACAAACTTAGCAAGAATGAGCTAAGAAAGCTATCTAAAACTGGATGATTTGTAAGCATTGGTTAAGAAATGGGTAAGGCTATTTATTTCTATTTCAGCATAGTTAACCACTGATCCCCTGCTTTCTGCTCATTTATTGTTTCAGATTTTCACTTTTTACTCACTGGCCTTTTAGCTTTTTAAATTAAAATAAAGTTCTTTTTTGGTCTACAGTAGAATTACATATTAACACAAATAACAAAAATAGGAAATATTTTACCAGTAGATTTATACTACCCTACCTCTGTGAAACTAGAACAAATAGAGTAATTTGAATAAACATATTCAAGGGCAATATCACCTTGGACCATATATATCTATAAACTCCTGGTACACTGAGCCTGGCTTCTGCTACAATTTTAGGTTTGTGACAATTCAGTCAAAATTCAAATATGGCCACTTCTTTAAAACAGCAAATGGCACCCACTGACAATTTAAAATGTGCCGCTTCAATGGAAAATAAAAATGAAGATATCTGGAGATCAGAAAGATTTTAGATTCCTTGATACATTCAAAATCCTTGGGGATTTAAGGACAGCTTGGAGGGCCATGAAGATAAGGACTATTGCAAGATATCTATTCAAGCGAAGTCTGCACTAAACACTGTGAGCAGGTAAGATAGCCTGACATAAGAAGAGCCTGCTGGATTAGACCAATGATTCTTCTGGTCCAGTTTCCTGTTCTCAGAGTGGCAGAACAGTTGCTTGTAGGAAACCCACAAGCAGGATTCAAGTGTAAGAGCACCATCACTTCCTGTGGTTTTCCAGCAACTGGCATTCAGAAGCACTGCTACCTACCAACCGTGGACCTTCTTTAAGGCGGAACAAAATCAGCACAAGGGAATAGTCTGGGCTGAAAAGAAATGCTGTTTTACTAGCATCAGCTTTTAAAAAATGGACTTCAGACACTTCTTCATTGCTGTTAAGAGTTTAGTAAACTCTAAAACAGCCTATCAGTAGAAAATTATTTTTTAAAGAATAGTTGGACAGCTTTATGCTCCCCCTGCAGTATTCATTCTGCAGTTTTTGTTACTTTGAAATGTTTGGGAAATGACATTTTTGTCCCCGTATATCAAATCGATGCATGATAACAAGAACAAAACTGCATCACGCAGTTCAGGGTGGAAAGAAACTCCACATAAGCTAGCTGGAAAAGAAAATATACAGTTAACATGTAGGTTTGCAAAAAGGAACACATCAGGCTTGGATCTAATTCCTTAGAGCTGAAATACTGCACAGATTAGTCTGGTTTAAAGGTAAGATTTATAGAGGGCCACTGTATATCAAAACACACACACAAGCAAATCCAATTCTTCTCCCTAACATAGATTGTAATGCACACTTTGCCAGAGGCTGCAACTGCTTCCCCACTGGACTGCATAAAATCAGTGCTTCCCATTTCAGAGTTTATGGAGTCACAATGCAGTAATAGGAGAGAGAAATTTAATTCTTCCAAAGGAATGATTAACATCAATAACCAAGTCTAAGTCATATATTGTTGATTCCAGCCCAACAAGCCGATTAAACCTGA